CTCCACACAACCTTCTCTTCTCCAGGCTGAACAGCCCCAACTCTCTCAGCCTATCTCCATAGGAGAGATGATCACTGATTCCATCTCCTTGCCCCTGCACAGGACACCCCAAGAATGAGGATTTCAGCCCACCCCATGTTGCTGCTTCATTTCCCAGTCACTTCAGTAAAACACCACAGTGAAATGACTCAGTTCTGTACAGAATATGCAGTGACAGATATTTTTGGCAGTAGCACATGGCAGAAATATCTCACTTACATAAAACAACCAAGTAGCAATCCTGTTGCCTGTTCCCAGTTCCTTAAAAGCATCTGGCTCATCTTTCTGTGAACAAAGCAAGCAGATTCCATCAGCATTGCCTTGGGGTGCTGAGAGGAGCCAGTGGCACACAGCTGCTGAGCCAGCAGCACAACTCATGCAGGAGAATGAACTCAGCCCCTCCCTGTGCAAGGAGGGAGATGCAGGAGGAGGGAATTTATTAACTGAAGTAAATCAGGCAGCTGGAAATCCTGTAGGCCAGGGAGGGTGTGAGCCCAAACTGCTACTGGGGAGAAACAACTGTGCTGTCTGAGGAATGTGGAAATCCTCTTCACAGCAGTTATTCAATTACACTCATGCCCCCCATCCTTGGCAAGGACAGCTTAGTCCCAGGGTCACTGAGCATGGCACTGCCCCAGGGGTGGCCCTAGGCACCTCCCCACCATGCTCCACTGCTCTGTCATTCCAGCTGGGAAGAAGGGAGGAAGCCCCAGGAACAAACTAGGAGCTGTTTATCACTTGACTTGCAAGGACAAACCCCCTTTTGATGAGTTTTGATGCCAACTTTTCTCACACCTCTACTTCTAAACCCAACCCCTGTGAGAACTTGAGTGGGTTAAATTTCCATCAGTGTACTCCAGGAAGTGACCTGAGCATTTCCAAACAAAACCTGTTAATCATTGGAGCACTGTGCTTACAGAGCAGAGATCCTGGTTAAGAGTTGTGGCCTGGACAGACAGGGTAAGGTTAATCTGAAGGGGTTAAATCACACAAAATTCTGCCCAATAAATAATCAGCTGAACTCAGCAGCATTGTTTGCAGCAGGCTGCAGTGTAAGCTGCAATGGAAATAGGTAGGAAGTGTAAATCCAATAGAAAAATGAGGGATGGTGAGGCAAGGCCTGAGCAGGCTTTCCCCAGTCAGGAATGTGCAGGCACTCAGCAGGCAGAGCACAGCCCACACAAGGTTCAGCTGGTGGTTTAGAGGGCTTTCTCCACTGACATGGATTAGGAAAGTTGAAGAGCTACACAATTTCTTAAAGGTTGTAGAAGAGAAACTGTGCCCCAGCCCAGAGGCCCAGGCTTCACCAGGTGGCTAGCTCTCCTCCAGCTCTTTACTTGCCCGTGCAAAGTCAAAGTGGGGTTCATACTGGCCTCCCACTCCATAATTTGCCACCTGAAAAAGAGAAACACATTGCTTGTGAAGAAGAAAAAGGTGAAGACAGAACAGGACTTACCCTTCCAAAATCAAAATGAGGCTCATACTGGCCTCCTACTCCGTAGTTGGCTACCTACAGTGAAAGGAGAAGCACAGGGTCTAGTAAAGCAGTATTTATCCAGGCAAGACTTTGACTGACTTCTACAGTCTTTCCACAGCTCAAGTTTAACCATCAAGCCCCAGGAAGTGACAAGCCTCTGTCAGCTACAGGAGCAGCAGCATATCCAGGACTGACACTGCAAGATGCAGTGTGTGCTCAAGGCAAGGAATCTGCTACTTCCCAGGGCACAGAAGTATTTTTCTTCTATAGAAACTTTTCAGCCCCTGTTCCACTCCAAATATCTCACAGGTGCTTTTGCATCATTCAGGTTTAAATCACTTTTTGACCTTTATGTCAATAAAGAGGATCTTCTGTCCTTCTTGCCAATTGACTATAAACACATCACCTCCATTTCCAACCAGATGCTTCGGCATTTTATCACCAGGAGTGCTGGCAGAGTGGCACAGGAGCTCTCAGAATCACTTTCTGGTCTGGCTTTCTAGGTATTTGCTTTGCTCACAATCAGTGAAGCAGCTGCTCATTTAAAGGCCTCAAGCAAATGAGTAAAAGCACTTGTGAATGACAGTTTACTCCAGTTGCACATACAGCCAGTGCTTCCCAGATTACAGGGACACCAGACATGCTCTTGGCCTTCCTCAAGTACCAGTCAAGCTAAATCTTTGACTAGGACCACAGCAGAGTGTGACTCTGCAGCAGTGAAACTTATTTACATAAATAGAAAGTAATTACACATCCAGTTCCACGACCATTGGGAGTTTCAGTTATCACTGAACAGAAAGCCATTTCATACTGAGGTAGGAACTGCTCTGCAAAGAACCTTTGTTTGTTCCCTCATGAATCAATGAGCTCTTGTGGCCACCTCAGCACCGTGAGTGCAGTGCTGCTCACAGACACCCAACCTGAAACGCTGCCTGACTCCTCCACCCAACCACCCTCACAGCTCACCTGCAGCTCCTCTGCCGTGGAGACATCCAGGCCTGTGAGGTCCTGGATCCTGGTGTTGATGCGGGACACCACGGGGCTCTCGTAGCCGGACAGCCACGCGCTGGGGGGAGAGGCACAGGCTGGCAGTAACAGCAGGAACAGCACCACAACAACACTGCAACGTGCTCACAATCTGACATCGTTTTTGTCTGACTTTGCAAGGTTTGGGTAGGACAACCAGAACTATTTGCAGGCACTACAACGACCTGCAGTTAATGAACACGTTTGCTGGAGAGAACACTTGCAGCACTGGTTTGAGGGAGCTCTAAGGGCCTCAGTCCCCACACTGGATTAGCAAATGACTGAAGGAAATATTCCAGTGTCATCTGCTTCAAGCTGTTCTCTAAAACAGGCACAGTTTTGCTCTTAGCCACTCCAAACAGCTAATTCAGCCCCTACAGGTGATGCACTTTGAAGCAGCACTTGGGAAAGGAACAGGTGAGTTACTTTGTGTGACTTAGCTCCTCTACAGTCACACACTCAGAGGCCTATAGCACTCTGATCTGCCCTCTCACATCACTTACCTGTGCAAAGCTACTAAAAATCACTCTGCAAACAATTAAATGATGCATTAAATTCTTCACCATTTTCCTCAGTGAACAACTTCTACACCAGAACAGCCTATTACACATCTGGTACTTAGCACAAGGTTCAGGTACACAATGACTTTTAGAGGGGAAAAACTCCCAAAACAACCCAATTTCTTTTAAAAAAATAAAGAGTAAAGGACAGTCTCAAAGGTATTTTTCAAAATGTTTGCAGCCTGCTCTATATTAGAACTTTTGAGCTAAAAATGCTGCACTTATATTAACTGGCAAACAGAGAGTGGTACCAAGAGGTAGAGCAGCAGTTCTGCCTCTGTCTGGCCCCAGTGCTGCATTCTCTCCCTTAAGTGGCTGCTCCCTGGTGAGAGCTGCAGGGCTGCCCGGGGCCAGCCACATGCTCAAAGTAGTGATGTTTGGGCAAAACAGGGACACAGGGTTAGTGTGGCCACAGCTCTCTGCATCCCTGCAGGCCCCTCAGCAGCCATGGACACAGCCAGGTGCTCACAAGGACACACAGGCATTTTCCAGCTCTTTACAAGATAATCATTTAGCTCCTTTGGAAAAAAATATCAATTTCACCTACCCAATAGCTTATTTTCTTGCTTTTCCCATCCTGTGCTGCTACTGCACCTTCATTTACCTGTCCTGTCCTCTGCTTCCCTTGCACTCCCCTGCCAGTCACTAATATGGATGATATTGATGATTTGGGGCCTGGTTTTACCCCCCCCTCCCCCCTTTTTTTTTTTTTTTCAAGGAAATGGAGATGATTAGTTCTACCTCTTTCTCTAGCAGCTGACTCAGCCCTTGGGGTCCTCAGTGGCTCCTGCTGGACAGACATACCTGTGCTCACAGCCCAGCTGGGAACTCTCAGTAGAAGCATCATAGTGTTTTGACCCAAATGAACCTTCACATCTCTAGTAAATGAAGTTTTTGTTCTTGAATTTGTATGAAAACCAAATCCCCAACCCTTTTCCTGGGAGGCCCAGCAGCAATGACACAGGACACGAGGCACTGACACAGTTACAGAATCTCTATGAGCAGTTTTTAAAGAACAAATGAAGTAGAGCTAATGAAAATAAGATTTCTCCAGACAGACATGCACAAACACCCACAGACCCATCAAGTGCCGACAGTTAGTGTGAGGAGGTGTTACAGTGCAGCCTGCTCTGCTCTCAGGTGCTAGGAGGATGCAAAGACTATGTCATGAAGCACTGACCAAAACCAACACCAAGCAGCAGCTGTGCAGCCCACGCTCTGCAGCCACGGTGAACAGGGAGTGCTCACCAGCAATCCTGACCTGTTTCACACACCAGAAAACCACAACAGCCACCAGCTCCAGCAGGAGGCTCTCCCTGCCTCTGGTCACTCTGTGCATAAAGTTTTTAAGGGAAAATAGAAAGGAAATAACCCAAAGAAAGAAAAAAACATTATTGCTCTGTTGGTGAGTTAGAGGTGCAGGAGGGTAACTGCAGCCTTCCAGGAAGGGAAATACTCTATGTATTTTAGGAGTAAAATTAATTGCCTGAGCACACAAAGTCTCTGAGAGGTGGAGGAAGAGGGAGCTGAAACCACAGCCCAAGTGCCAGCCTGGCTGCTGAGCAAAGCCAGGGGAGGCCTGGAGTGCTGTGGAGTTAGTGTGACTTAACCCTCTAAGTGCCATGGAACCTATTCCATACTCTCCTCTGGCCATCTCAGCTTTGGGCCCTTGCTAACACCCAGGTCAGTCTGTGCCCAGTGCCAGCCCCTTTGCAGCAGGTATTCCCTCACACACACAGACTTTCTCCCTGCTCTCGGCTATCCGGAAAGACACCCCTCACCAGCAGAGGGGGAGATGCAGCATTAACAGCCTTAAATGCTGCTGAGCAACCTTTTCTTTTCCTATTTGCACAGTTCGGGGCTCAGTGTGATTCAGAACTGCACACAGCTCTGCTCTTCCATGTACTCTGTTAGATCAGCAGCTTCCCTTGACAGGTTTGTTGGCATTCTGGTCTGACTGTGACCAGCTCAGGCCTCTATGGGCAGAAAACCTCCTAGCAGAGGGACAAGCTGCGTCCTGGGAGGCCAGAGGCAAGGTGGTGGTTCAAGGTGGTATTTGGTATTTCCTTAATACCTACCACACAAGCCCCAAATTCCATGACCACACTAGTACAGTATTTTGCTGACCCACTTGGCTGTGTAAAAAGACAACCCTGAACTAAAGTCAGTGTATTATAAGAATTAATATAACATGTTGATATAATATAT